CTATAGTCCTGACTATGAAAGACTATAGTCCTGACTATGAAAGACTATAGTCCTAACTATGAAAGACTATAGTCCTAACTATGAAAGACTATAGTCCTAACTATGAAAGACTATGGTTCTGACTATGAAAGACTATAGTAAAGACTATGAAAGACTATAGTAAAGACTATGAAAGACTATAGTAAAGACTATGAAGACTATTGTCTAGACCTAATCTATAGAGGGTGAGCCGATCCTTATATATGTGTTATTTCCAACTAAATCTTCATTCCGTTGCTGACCGCCGAACAGAGATGACTAGCAGTTATATGAAACACAGACCATTTGTAGAACTCTTATGTACTTCTCATCCAACTCAGCAGCAAGCTCTTCTTAATTCTACATCAGCTGAGCAAATTCGATGCTTGTGTCATTGTATAGAAAATTTCACATACTCTAAAGAAACAAAGGACAAACTCAGACCTTTCGAACAAGATCTAGCTGATTTAGCAGACAGGGATAGAAATTTTAAGACGAAAAAGGAAATTCTTGTTCAGCGGGGAAGCGGCTTTCTGGGATTGGTTCTTGGACCACTTTTAGAAGGTCTTGCAGAATTAATATAAAATAAAAAGTATGAAGGACATCTCCTCATTCCAATCATGGATAGCGACAAACGATCATCTCCTGAACAGTGGAGACTTGAAGACATTCTCAAATATCTTGACGTTGATGATGAACACGAAGCCGAAGAAATCCTTCATTCTATTTTAACCTCTACGGGGATTTTGACTTGGAATGGAAAAGGAGAAATCGTTTACAGAGGACATAATATACGAGGCACTGACATTGTAGACCTTCTGAAATATTGCGTGACGCCTTATCATCCAGATATTCCCGAACCAACTGGATTGAGCATTTTTATAAAAGGTCTTGCAGAATTGGAAATTGATAAAAGCCTAATCTTAAATGGACATGTCCTTTCTGTGTTAGCCCACAAGTGGTCCCGTCAGTATACACAATCAGATGCTGACGCAACTTGTAACAGTTGTAACAAAGATATATACATCTCCCATTTGAGTACGTGCCCCGTATGCACATGGACAGATTTTTATCCGAATTGTAAAAACTGTCGCTGTATGATCTGTGATTTTCAAGTGTCCAAAGGAGATTTTACACATGTAATCACCAGCTGCCCACATTGTCGCCGAGGTGAAATTATAGATATCAGAACGGATGAAAGGCAGTCCTTTAACCATAAATTAGGGGACCAAAGTGATATTTGATTAGTTGACTGCGTGAAGTTGAACTGAACACATCAACATGCCGAGAGGTACACTTGTTGTAGACGAAAAACTACTGAGAGACCATTTCTTGAGACAGCAGCATGGCGGAAACATCGCTGGGTATCGTGGTGCACGTTTTCAAAGAGGATACGGGATCGGAAGTATTTTCAAGAGCCTTGCGAGATATGCTATCCCTCTGTTCAAACAAGGCGCTAAAGTTGTTGGCAAAAGAGCATTGCAAGCAGCCACAGAAGTGGGTCAAGATGTACTCCAAGGAAAAAATGTCCGAGAATCTGTAAAGACTCACGGAGGTGACGTTTTAAAGACTTTGCCGAAAAAAGAGCAAAAGCCCTACTACAACAAGCAGGGCGCGGAAGCAAGAGAAGGCAGGGCCAACGAAGTAATTTATCAACTACAAAGAGGTTAAAACTGTGTTCTCATATAACAGTCCCAAGACATACCAAATGGATTACGGAAGATGAAAGCAGCCACGATGATGAAAGCAGCTATGATGAAGAATCTGACAGCGAAACCCTTGAAACAAGTGACGATATATATTAGAAACATAATTTTGTAAAACGTTTTGAAGAAATAAATTTAAAAACTGAAATATTGGGTAAATTTTTGCCGGCAAAGCCCGCTCTTTCCGCCCGCCTGATTAGTGTACAAATATGTTGTACGTTAATATATGCATGCACGCAAGCGTCGCTAATGACTTAGCAACAAATAACAACGTATATAACGATTACATGTTTTTATTGCAAAATATCTTACAACTGTTCCAATTCTAACTTATATTCTTGATAAGCTTACTTATGATCATCTTAACAGTATATATGTATGTAGAATATAAATAACGTTGAACAACATGTAAATATTGACCTTAACAACGACGTTGACAACTCGGGATTAGGAACTGTTTAGTTTAAAATATGTCTAAAATATGTTTAAAATATGATTTTTGTGACGAATAGATTCCTTATTTGCCCTCCTTCGTTTTCGTTCATCATAAGGCAGTCATGTTGTCTTTGACTAGGATGACCGACTTGACAACCATTACAGGATTCCACACAAAGTCTTTCAACTTTTGGCTGCAAAGCGCTCCTGTCTTGTCTAAATCGCTTTCTCTCTTCCCGCACGGATAACCCGCGACGCCCGCGCAATGAATATCCTAATCTACCCGTATTTATCCACACAGTAGGAAAATGCAAATCTCTGATAAAAGTTAATCCTTTAATTAGTGTCACCCTAACAACACATAGCAACCGGTGTGCTTTAATATAGCTTAAATTTATTAACCTTATCCGAGTTTTAGAACTTTAAAAAACTAGCAATAAAATATAGAAATCGCTTGACAATTATATATCATAACTTCTAATTTCCATGTGTTTATATAACTCTAAACAGCAACATATTCTCTCGTATATAGACCTCATATGGCAGACCGGGATTTAAATATTAGTTTAATTGTAGATACATAATAACTCTTACCGCATGCTATTTCTCAGCGTTTTGACGCCTGATAATATTTATATATTACTTAACAACAAAACATATAGCTGTATACCCCGAATATATAAGTTTTAGATATATAACACTAGTGCTATTTCTCAGCGTTTTGACAATAACAGCAAAATGCCAGAGCTGTACTTATAAAACTCCAGACAACAACATATTCTCTTCTATATATACCTAACTATTGTATCATAAACGTGGGCGACGCTAAAAAATGCGTAGTCAGCAAGTTTCAACCGATCGTGTTTAAACCTGCCCGCGTGACGTCATTGCATATAATTATGACGTATGTTAATGAGTGACGTCATTACTCCTCCTCAATTGTACGAGTATTAATTATAAATGAGGTGGTGGACACTCACCACCTCAAAACTACACCACCTCACACTCCACCACCTCACACCACCTCATCCACCACCTCAAAAATCCGGGTCGAACAGTACCTATATTACTACTGAAGCCAATCAAATAGTCTGAGCAACTGGACTGGAGCTTCCCTTTTTTTTATAGTCCAGTCACATGCAAACTTTTGTGAATTACAACTTGCAATTTGTTCGCGTCGCTGGCAAATTGCTCAGAGCAATCTCCCTATCAAAATTGCAATATTGTGGGACAATATTGCAATGTTGCGAGTAAGTCCTTTCTGAAAATCAGTTAAATCACTTTAGTGACAACGTTTCTTCATTAAAGATTATTATCATCAATGGTATAGCGCTAACGGTATAGCAGCAACCTCGCAAACCATGCAGGGTTTTAGCGCCGTGACGAAGTAAAGACCCTGGCTTGCAAGGTTGCATGCGGTAGCATTAGTGGAAGTCGAACCTGATCCTCTCTATTACTCTAATATATGTGATCAAAGGAATTCTGTGAATTGGTCTAGAATTGCTTTATCCACGGCCAGGCTTTTAATAAAGTATTTTGTTATTTTTTCACAGAAATTACAGGACCACATGTTGACGTTAATGGATCATCGAGCTACCCTTTCGTCTCAACACACGTGACATCAAGAAAAATAAAGCAAAACAATACCTGGGATTCCGGTTTTCCTACCCTACCTACACACGTAAAAACGCACAAGTTGTTACAGGTCTGCAAACAAGTTGTTAAAAATCTGTTTACAAGCTGTCGACAAGTTTTGTTCGCACAGCTTGTTCCTAGTTGTTGTAACAAGTTTGGAACAAGCTGTTAACAACTTGTATAACAAGCTTGGTGGCATTATCAGACTTGTTACAAGGTTGTTCTAACAAGTCTGATACAGTCATGATATGACAAGAATGTTACAAGGTTGTGACAATATTGTTATATCATGACTGTATCGGAATTGTTGGAACAACCTTGCAACAAGTTTGATTGTATAAACAAGATTGTTACCAATTGTTAACAGCTTGTTTCAAACTCAGACTTGTTGGCAACTTGGGACAAGCAGTGCGAACACAACTTGTTGACGGCTTGTTGGCAGACTTGCTGCAACCCTGCTACAACTTGCTCATGTAGCATGAGCAGTTCTAACAAAATACTTCAAAAGAAAACCCTACCTACGTTTTTGCAAGAAGAATTAGGAAACCCAGGTATTTTTTGCCTTAATAGAGTTGAAAAAAGGTCAAATATACTGTATATAATAAATAAAGTAACTTGAAGAGTCTGAAAAGATCGTGAAGTTAAACCGGACTGTCTAATAATATATTATTATAGTATTAAAAACCATATATAAATTTGATGAATATAAATATATAAATATATTAGTAAATAGATTAAAATTGCTTCGTTATGTAAGCATAACCACGAGTTTTTATTTTATCATGAATTTTATTTCATTGCACGCATAAATCGTTTACAAAGCTACTGGAGTTGTCTCGTACCCAGCAAGGTAGGAGCGTAGAGAAAAGAGTCTGGACACGAAATTACTACTGAAGCGCACCCTGTCATATTCGATTGAATAAATTGCGGGCGGAATTGAAGCGCCGATCTGACGGGCATGCATGAGAAGCAAGAACTCGTCAAAATGTGTTTGCCCAACTTTACATTTTGCTATCTTTTTCCAAAAAATTTATCCGTCCAAAATCCCCAAATTTCTTGTCCGGGGGGGGGGGGAGTTTGAAAAAAAATTCGAAGGGATTACAATTTTGGAAACCTTGCATATTTTCGACTATTATGTTGCATATTTCTCGCTTTAAATTAACTTATTTCCTTCGTCTTTTTGCCCTACTTACGTTTGCTGCAGCCCCCCCCTCCCCCCGCCTCATACGCTCATGTTTGAAGGTAAATGAGCTACCTAATATGAACACGTTTTCTGAATGGTTTCCTGAAACAGAAATGATCCGTGTATATTGACTCGTTCTTTAGAAAGGTTAATGTCAATACGGCGTCACTGGTAAGGTTTCAATACACCGGAAAGTACGTCACTTTGGCTATGGAGCCTCGTTTTCGTGTATGTATACGAGGCTCGACAGCTAGACAAGATGACATACTTGCCAGAAGGGTGTATTGCTTTCTTACTATTTGTTTGAAGTTGTTCAATTTCAGCCAGCATTACGCAGTGACGAGTTGCACGCGTCTCCATATTTTGAGTGTGACTGTACGAGTCTTGGTCAAACTCCTGCCCCCACCTCGAAAACTTCCCAGCATGCAAAATGCAACCACGTGATGCAACCCAAATCCAAACCGCAAACAATACAATCAAACCAACCTTACATGAAGTATTCCCTTTCAAAGCACGTGATTTAAAGAGGCAGAAATTAAAAAGCGCGGGAAAATCGGCCATATTGTTTATTGTCGAATTATTGAAAATACTTTAAAAAATAAACCCAAATTTCCTTGATGTTTTAGCAGTATTATGGCGAACAATGAATGTATTCTCGAAGCAAGTGTTACGGAAGGAGAAAGGTCTGATTTGAATTCCCCAGAAGATTTGAAAAACGCAGAAAAATCCTCGCCTGCTTTGACAAAACTCGAAAGGGAAGGAGAGGATGAAATTTGCGATGAAACCTTTTCTCAGCATTCTCGGGTGCCTGATAAAGGTAGGTTTGTTGGTCAATTAGTTATAATTGTTATTTTAATTCGTGGGTCGGTTTATTGGATTTTATATATGTTACTGTTTAGTGTTTAAACGGAAATGCTATTTATTAATTAAACAACTTGACACTTTATAGTTAGTTACATGTGTGGCAATATTACTATGTATAAATTATCATTGATGCTGTTTATTATAAATTGGCAATATTTAAATATTAAATGGTACGCCAAGGAGAAACTGATGTCCGAAGTTTCTGCTTATACAGGAATAAAAGCAAAATTTACTGAAATTCAGTTTCTCTTTGGTATACCATTTAAAATCTCTTCATTTTAACATTTATATGTTACAGATAAAGCACTGGAAACATTTGAGAGAGAGACAGTTAAAACTTGAGAAACATTTAAAAATTGAATATAGTCATTTGCAGACAATCAAAACAATGTGAAAAGCAATTTGTCAAAATAAACTAACCATTTACAATGCAAATTTACCATCGTTCGTCCAAAAAATTATAAAAAGTTGCTGTTATGTGGACTTACCTTGCCTGAGACTTCGGCTGTAATGCCACCCAAAAATGGCGGTGAGATAAAGGCTAATTGGATAAGTTGAGCCCATACAATGACAGATGATACTTGCTGAGGGTTATATCCCCAGAATGACAGATGATACTGGCTTATAACCAAGTGGAGAAGTATATTCATTAGTTTTGAGTGTGTGTTACATAACATACAAAAGATTCTCCTCTTAGGTGCCTCGTCCACATTTAAGTTGGCACACATATATCTAAACCGACTCAACCACCCAGCCTTAGAAACATCAAGCATGGCTGGCATACCTTATTGTAAGGCCTGTTTTTATATGTTGCATTATTGTCAAATTTAATCAGGGATGTCGGAACTGGGGGGGGGCAGGAGGGGCAGCGGCCCTCCTTGCCCTTTACCAGGAGAGGCAAGGGGGGCAAAGGTGCCCTTTCAATTTAAAGGATTGCCTTGGCGAAATAGCGAATTGTCAGAAATGTTAGTGCGATTCTTTTACGAATTTGCTTCAGAAAACGCAAGAAATGCAGTCATTGAGCTTCAAGAATAGCACAATCGCCTGGCGGAGAACCCCCTCACACCCCTATCATCCAATAAATAGAAAACATGATTAGGCAAAGTTCAACTCCCGATGTTTTGCAAACATCTTAGTATATATCAATACAAAAGTGCCCTTTCACGAAAATCTGCTCCCCCCCCCTTGCCTTCACATTGTTCCGGCATCCCTGAATTTAATTCAGGCAAATTTATTGAAAGGTTTGAATCTGCTGGGTGGGCTAAATTTTGCAATGCAGGAAAAATTTCATTGAAATTTTAGTTAAATATCAAAATTAACCCATTGAGTGGCACTAGCAGCAATCCCCACATGACGAGTAAAATCGTCTGGCGGTAGAGTAAAATACTAAAGTAGGGTGCATCAGGGTTCATTGTGACTTAAAGGTTAAGAGGATTGATGCATGGTCAGCTTGTTTGGTTAACCCATTGAGTGGTACGTAGCAATCTCCACATGACTAGTAAAATTGTCTGGTGTTAGACAGAGTAAAATACTAACGTAGGGTGCATCAGGGTGCATTGCTACTTTGAATCTAAAAAGCTATATTTTGAAACTAATTTTTTGCACAAGCCATTGTTTCCTCTTATATAAAAGAGTAATTTTAACCCACAATTGCTTCATGACAACGTGAAGTCACCATCTATATGGCCTATGTCAACCAAAAAAGCTGCCTTAGTGGACAAATAAGCACAGTGACCTACCTTTTTTATTGCAGAAAATATATTGTTATGAAGTTCTGAATCTTTTGCGAAAGTTATTTGAAAATCGCCAGTGTAGTTTTTGAGAAACTGAATTTCAGCCTTTCCAAAGGCTAAAATGCAATCTATTGTACACTGGCAATTTTCAAATAACTTTCAAAAAAGATTCAAAACTTCATAACAATGTATTTTCTGCAATAAAAAAGGTAGGTCACCTTGCTTATTTGTCAGCTACTTAAATAGGCAGCTTTTTTGGTTGATATAGGCCATATAGATTGCGACGTCACATTGTCATGGTAACGTGAAGAGTAGCAATTGTGGGTTAAAATTACTCTTTTATATAAGAGGAAACAATGGCTTGTGCAAAAAATTAGTTTCAAATAGCTTTTTAGATTCAAATAGCTTTTTGTTTAAAACACTGATGAGACATTGAAAATGGCAAAATTGCAAAATGCAACATTATGTGGTGCTAACCACATGTTTCCATAGTTAACACATTGGATTATCATAAATCAAAACGATTTTTGAATTTTGGCCCATGCCCACTCTGCGGCAAACCGTCGAATCTGCACTTGTTTGTTGCTATTGTTCTGTGGATAAAGTGTGTTTATTTAAAATAATTATAACTCAGTCACTTTAACTTTGAAATAAGTTATATTTCTTAACAAACACAGTCTAAGGTTCACATATCATGATGACAATGTTAGATCAGACAATATCCAGTGTTGCTGTGATTTATGGTGCATCGAAGTTT